GATCGACATCTCCAGACCAGTCGAACCAATTTTTCCTCTGTTCATCATCACTTGCCTCGTTTCTCTTCACAGCATACCTCCGAGAACAGTTCTTGCGTCAACGGCAGTGGTCGTCGGCCAAGGATTCTCCCTCTAACTTCATCCAGGTCGTGGTTCCTGCTAAGAATTCAAAGACTCTTTCTCCAAGTTATTCTTGTACAGTGCGCAATCTCTTGGAAATTTCCATTCTTCTTCTGAAATCAAATCCTACCATAGTGCCACCATCTCCATGTAATAGTTAGTGACCTCTTTATTTCTTTGCTTCATCAGCCAATGTTTTGTTTTAATTTCAAAGATTTGGAAAACCTTTTCAAAAGTATGTTTCTCAAATGGCATCCCGGACATCTTTTGCCGTTGGTAGGAAAAAATAGGCCTTTCCGATAAATGGTTCTATGGAATTCACGAGCCACGCAGTCACCATAGAGTTTTCCAATCTCCATTTTTGCAGCAGGCCAACTTCGGTTGATGCAAGCTTCTTTGTGTAATTCACCAAGTGCCCTAATTTTCCTTTTCCATTGACCACAAGTTTCTTTGTGTAACCCACCAAGTACCCTAATTTTCCTTCTCTATTGACCACAAGTTTGATTGATTGTGCCCATTCTTGGGGAAAAAAAATTCTGTTCAATTCTTCCACAGTGGGTTGCAATGACGAATTGTCAATTCCTCCGAAAACCCTTGTTGAGATGACTTCTGTATTGCATTCGTGTGTTTCAGAGGTCATTGACCCTTCGCTGCCGACTACGTCTATCATTGGTTACGTTAAGACAAACCCAGCTCTGATAGCACAAAGATGAAATCAGGAAAAGATTTCTTTAATCAGGAAACGAAAGAAAAACGTCAGGGCACATTTCCAAGTGGTAAAAGGGGAGGGTGGAGAAATTCAGCTTTACTTGAGGTTGTCGCGTCAAGGGTTCGAATCTTGAAATATGGATTTGATTCTTGGGTAAGTGTAAGTGTACAAGCAGCTTTCCACCCTGTACTCTTGGAGGCATAATCTGCGATTTACCTCTCTCAAGATGCTTTAGGACAGGAACGGTGGGGTACCCTTAAGATTGGAATTCAACCTTTAGAAAAGAAAGAAACAATTTTCCTAAAAATCTGTTAGTCAATCTCCTAATTATAATATGTCTAAATATATACAACTAAAAAGTAAGGTAAGATCCCCGATTCATGATCTTTGTAATATTCTCCGATTTTCAACAATAAATAACTTTTGAAAAGAAAAAAAAAATCCTTATCACCCCTTTTGCCGTCCTTTGCCTACCGAATGAGAAAAATCTTGTGTTTCGTTTTAAAAGAAATTTCCTTGAAGAATTTGAAAATAATTTTGATAATCTTGTGTTTCGTTTTAAAAGAAGTTTCCTTGTAGAATTCGAAAATGATTTTGATTACATTACTATGTTGCTACGACACTTCCTAAGAGTCCAAATTAATTTTTTTGAGTCATGATAGGAAAGTTGCATGCACTTGTCTTAAATTTTGTATGGTATCGAATTCTCTTTTAACCACCAAACTTTTATTTTGGTTTGATTACGTTATTTTGTAACGAGTCACTCTATATTAATTATCACCTATGTCAGGTCCTTAAAATCAAGATTTGATATATTTATTGTGTATACCAAACAGCCTTTAAAACATAATTTTTTTTTTTTTGATACCCAGGTATCTCAGTTTAGCTAGACTAATTCCTGGACCTCTAGTCATCGGCCCCTCAGCGACTCGAGAAGGTAAACCGCGGGTTGTTCCCTTGTTGGCTTCCAGGTTTCTGCACCGCTTATACTCCTGTTCCCAAGAGAGCTCTCCTCACTGCCTTCCAGTATGCCTTGCCTTCGAGATAAAATCCCCCTTCCAAGACTGTTGACTTCCAGGAATCGAACTCTCCATGTTGGAGTTGCGAGCCCACGAAATGCAATTGTTTAAAACGTAATATTTTGTCCTACGTTTGGCTCCAATTTTTAGCATTTTAAAATCCTCAAATGTGATTCTTTTCTCCATTATAAACGTCCTATTTATTTATACTACCCACAAAGTACACTACCTTCCACCACTTACAATTTGAACTCCTACTTTATCAATGGCAATCTACCCACTAAGTGCACTCCCACATATCATTTTAACTCCTATATGATCAACTGCAACAAACCGTCCATTATCATTAAATTGAAGATAATTATCTCTTTCAAAAATCTATAGCAAGTTGGATTAAGTTGAATGTACAGATGCTGAACTTACATGCCTCTTACAGGTCAGACCCATGGAGGTCGGGTCCATGTGGGACCCCGTATAATAAAAAAAGGCAAGAAAATTTACCGACCCCACCATTGTGAGGTATCTGTAAGGAGCCCGTAAGTTCCGGCCCTATACTCCCAGCAACTTCCTAGCAAGTTTATCTCTCAAACCACAATTCCAAACAGATAAATTTCACTCACCATCTATCCAACACCTTGGAATCTGAAAATTTATCAGAAAGACCTTCGGATTATGTTGCATTTGTTACAAATTGGACCAAAAGGGTATTCAAACGGCAAACAATTAAGGTAAGGTATTTTCGACACTTTTGTAAGTAAAGTAAAAATTAATAATTTTCGATTTTCAATAAACGTGTTATTGTGTTATTCATGAGAAAATGGAAACACCTTTTAGGGGTTCAAATAAGATATGAAGAAATGATTTTTTGTACTTGAAAGGGGTCATCAAAACCTAAGAGTAAGCAAAGTACTTGATTAACGGTTCGCTATGCATGTCAACTGTAATTTAGAAATGTTGGATTGACTATGCATGAAGTTTAATTATTACTGAATTAAATTTTCAAATTCTACATCCTACTTAAAAATGGCATAACTTGGGTTATGATGCATGTTTTAGAGTGAAATCAATCAGGGTTTGAAGGGTTTACGAGTCTTCTAGTAATAGTATTTGGAATTATCTTAAAATATTACCTAGAGAAAAAGTTATGTTCATTTTAGTAGACTGCACTGATTCAGTTTCGAAATTTCTGTCCAACATAGTTCAAAAATATTTTCTGCTTTAAACATTTTCGTCGAGACCCAAATTTTTTATATGTTGTACGTATATGAATTTTATAATCTCTGTTACCATTTCATAAATTTTAGTCGACGTTTGTTAGGCAAACATATTTTTCTTTCCACCGCTGCATAACCAGTATTTGCTGAATTTCATCATGATGTTTTCCAAAATCAAATTGCACCATAATTGTCTAAATCTTTATGGACAAATATCTCCCATTATATATATATATATATTGGTAAACCTTAGAGAGATATAACTAAGATTTTTTTTCCAAACTCTTCGAGTACAAAGAATTTAGTACGTTACGCTACTCACCTTGTGCAAGGTAGGCAAAGGGAGAATATGCAATACATGATACCATGAACATAAATTGACGCACAATTTACATTCCACGACCAATATTTGACGTACAAAATATAGTATAAAGTTTCGACTTATCGAAACCAAGATATGTACATGAAAAAAGGACCAAATCATGACTTAATTGGAAAATGTGTGTGTGTGTGTGTGAAATAAGATAAGCAATTGCAATTTTTTTTTAAGACATTTTGCACCCTAAATTGCTGCTAATATTATCAAATGGACGTCTATCGTTATAATTCTTTTTTTCAAAATTAATATAGCACAATATTAATTTTGTTAGATTGAACAAAATGTTGACAATATTCTTAATAGACAAGAACTAAACTTGCTCGAACGAAATTTTTATTTCTAAAAATAATTTGGACATAATTTAATTGCAACAAAATTGTTACATCCCGTGAACGAGGCTCGAGTCAGCACCACGTGACAGGACACGTGATGGAGAAAAACTAGCCCACACTCCACGTCATTGAAATGAGGCGATAATTCTAGCCGAGCCCATATAAGGGACCGAACCAATTGGCCTTAATCGACCTACTTCAAACAAGGCAAATGGCTCCACTCAATCAAACAAGTCAAATATACTCTTACATGTTAGATCTAAACATGCAATAGCATCACAACACTCAAGGCAATATGGCCTTAGAATGATTGATTGACACTTGTGACGAGAGTTCCACCACAAAGGATGAAGCTACGCCTATGTTCATCAATGGTTCACATTCATCACCTTCTACTATGAAAGTTCAAGTTTAGCTTTCTTGAAAGATAATGCAAGTTCGTACTCTCAAACCATATTACTACTTTACTATCTTATCTTGCTCTCTATATTACCCCCAGTTCCGAACCCTCTTTACTTCGATAAAACTATGTCCTAAGCTCGTCCACACCTAACTATATATTCCACCCACTAACTTTTAATCGTCGAAGTGATTGCGGCCACTTTCCCCATCTCAAAAGTCTGGCCTATGCTTTGTCCTAGTGTGCAGAACCAAAGCTTACATAGACGCTAGTGGAGCAAGGATCTGTTAGTCAAGTCACCCCTCAAAAAATTGAGGTTAAAAAAAAAATAATAAATAAAAAATAATAAAAAAAGGGAGAGAGAATATATTGAAGACACTAAAGAATTATAAATATACATTTTCTTGACTTGATTTAATGTAGGAAATTTGAAATTAGAGATCCTTATTTTTCAAGTCTTTCAGAATGATAGTATCTTTTGATATAAATTAATGTGGATCATTAGATCACAACTTTTCATATCTAATGATCTAGATTGCATCCTATCAAAAAGTCGTGACTTTTCATAATGTAACTTTTTGAATAGTCATGCATATCCGAAATAACATGACTTTAATATGCATATTTTGCATTTGAAGAGTCGAGGCTGCTCATCCTACCAATTGGAAACTTTTCCAGTTGACAATTACTCATAATAATTCCATAAATTTCAACAATTAGTTGTAGCAAGCTTGATACTGCTGATACACATACTACAAATACCAAATGCCAGTTTTCTACCATAATATTCATAGACCCCCGGAAATGAATCTATTCCACGCGTACAGTGATACAAAGAGCCTCTCAACCATAAAACATCATAAACTGCAGAATCATTTGATGCGTATACTCCATAGCTTTAAGATACACATTTATTTTTTAAACACATTATAAGAAGCTCATTATAGCACTTCATGTTGCTTCCAGCAAAAAAGATGAAATGATGACAGAAATTTCATTTCGTCTTGTAAGGGTGCCATTTATAATTAGTCTGAAAGAAAGGAAAATCTTACAAAACAAAAAAGGGAAAAAAAATTGAGAAAAATCAAATTTTGTTAACCTGCAGGCTTGTGAGAGTTCGTGGGTCACCAGACTTGGAAAGAATCAGGCTTAGCTTTTGTAGCCTGCAATAGCAAATTATGGTTGTAAGAAGCAGACAACAGGACAAACGAAGCATTGCTCATTCATACACAGTATACAGAGTTAAAAGATAATATGAACCAAAATAGAAATCAAGCAGCCGAATCTGGATTAGAAAATTTGTACTAGCAACTTTTTCCTAACACCATACACCACACATTTCCCCAATCGTGACCAATGAAAAAGCGCATAGCATTCATCTTCCTCTATCAATTCCTTTCGTTTTAAATAAGGCTCTGCTAATTAATTAAAGTTCTGGATGAAAGAGCACTAAAAGACATACCTCCATGCAGCAAAAGCTGGGCGAACTCGCTCAAATATTTCGTCTTCTGTTCCAGTAGCATCTATCTGCACATGATTGTTGTTATGAACAGATGTATTTAATACATAATAAGCATTCATATGAACAATGAAACGAAACCAAGAACATTTTATTACTTTCTTTGATCAGCACAGGTGAAAGGCATCCAAGGTTAAATCATTCAAAGCCCATGACATGGAAAAATATCATTTCACAGTGATTGTATAGGAACACAATCCAAATTATAAATATTCATCAGTATTCTACCAAATCAGTACCTTGTAAAGTTTGCCTTTCTCAGAATAGTATTCAATCACAGGAAGATTCAATGCCTTAAATACCTTCAGACGTTCCTTCACTGTATCTATATTGTCATCAACTCGTCCCTAAATAGAATGATATCACAATTAGTTTCTTTGTGCAGAAAAGAAGCAAGACAGAGAGGAGAAAAATAAATATAAAAAAAGAACCTGATTACGGTTCAGCACTCGTTTCACCATTTCTTCTTCAGGGCAATCAAAGAAAAGCACGAAGTCTGGTTCAATGCCAACCTGCTATAATAGTTCATCATTTAATACTAATCGCCGAGAACTTATTATTTTACTCCACCTTTTATCACATTTTACTAGTTAACCTCCACCTTCATAGATTTATTAGCACAGCAAGTGGATTTCGGGTTTGGATAAGTCGGCTCCCCTAATACTTAACACCAGTGTTGTAAAAGACCAATAGTAGTGGAGCTGCCATCATTGAGAAATTACTGTGGGAAATTTCCTAACTTGGTTGTGCATGTGATTACATTAAATAGATTACATGTAAATCTGGGATAAGTTTACAAGAACTAAAAAACAGGATAGTGCATTGCTATCAAAAATTATAGGACAGATAGGAAATCATTGCTATTATAAAAGAAACTCACCACTCTTTCATATGCCATACGGTTCTCTTCACTTCTTGGGAAACCATCAATAAGAAATCTATCATTTTCACTTGATTCAATTGCTTTTAGAATTAGTTTTACAGTCACTTCTGAAGGAACAATTTTTCCTTCCTTGATTGTGTTGAGAATCATGGCACTGCATTGGACACCATCATTGCACGACATAGCAATTTACGTAGCACGCTAAACAGGAGATCCATATCAGAAAAAAGAAAGCATACTTTACCCATTTTCACTATTAGAAGAAATTTCCTTCCTTAACAAATCTCCAGCGCTTAAGTGGGTAAAACCAAAGGTTTCAACCATCCTTGTATACTGACTACCTTTTCCACTTCCAGGACCTCCTGAAAGCACAAATATTCGATTAGCATAATTTCTCTGCATTTTCATTAATGTTGCAGCAACAATTATCCCCAGAAAGCATCATAATGGAGAAGCTATTCTACAAACAATCATCCCAAAAACTTTAAAAAAATTGCCACACAAGAAGGTAGGAACAATCACGTGTCTGCAAGTTTCACTTCAGTGGAAGCAAGGCTCCAGTCACTGAGATGAGAATGAGAGTGTTACAATACATATTAAGAGTTAAACCTACTTGAGAACTAGATAAATAGTACATATACTGCACAAAAACTTCTTGTTTAGAGAAACTTGTAATATATTATGCATATACATTATAATATCAGAGAAATATAAATCATAGATTGCGACACCAAATAGAAAAGATCCAGATAATAATTTCGAAGTTCTTTATGACAGGCCACGTTTACTAATGACAAACTGAGAAAATGATTCCACTGAAAGTAATGTGTATAGCATTAAAAATCAAATTGAGTCGTCATTTTACCAAGAGAACAATGTATTCAAAATAATTCACATAATGGTGCAAAGTTATTTACCCAAGACAAATGATATGACTGGGGTTCTTCCTGGATTGGAAAGTATACCTTCTGCCTACATCCATAGAAGGAAATATAAAACATATAAATTCATCTTTGTAGGTAAGAAAAAACATTCCAAGATGAAAAATATACACAAAGCTAGTTCTGAACCAAGTTAGACATCAAGAATTTGCAAGTTGCAAGCTAATTCAACACACACAAAATGATGAACCAGAAAATAAATGTGCACAGTATAAATTTCACAATGGATGCTTATAGAACCATTCTTAAAAGGGGAACAAAACAATAGATTCATCAAAAGAACAGAATCAAACAGATGCAATTATCAATAATTGTTATTAATTGCAGTGCAGATAGTGAATCCACATGGGGAGCGAGGGGTTGATTGCCACCACAAAATTTTCATTTTTTTCTCGATTTATACTGAATTCCAATACAATTTCTTTTATTAATATAGACAAAATGCAAATATATTTTGACCCACCGCCATTTTTTTCACCCCCACAGTGAAAATTCTGGCTCGCTACTGGTCGGTATTTCAATCCTTGAAGACGTGAAGCAT